AGTTACAGGTTCGATTCCCAGTCAGTGAGGATTAAAACAAGTTCTAAAATCTGCAAAAAGAGAGCTCATCCTCTACCACCACCTACCCCAGGCTCCCCAGATACCCCTGACCCTGCTCTGCCTTCCTGTTTTCCATTTCACGTAACTTTCTCTATCACACTATTACCGTTTGTTACCTGTACTCTTTCCTTCCTGTTTCCCCGCGTCAGAAGGTAACCTCCATAAAGGCAGGGACTTGGGGCCGGCTCTGTTCACCGACAGACCTCCCATGTACCTGATATACAGGTGCTTAATATGTATGTGTCGAATGAATCTGTTACAGATGTTTCGGATGAGACGAGGGGCTGCTGGGAACTCCACCAAGAAGGACAAGAGCGAGCTGAGACCCAGGCCTGGGTTTGGGAAACTCGCCAACCCCCTACAGAGTCTGGTGCCATTTCAGTCTGGTCCAGATCCACACTGCAGTCTCCCAGGGCTGGATGCAGGGCCGGCGTGGGGACAGCGGGCAATTTCTAGACTGTGCTTGCCAGTTGGGAGGGTGAGAGGTGCTGCCACATTGCCACGGTTTGTCCGCGGGTGGCTGGCCGCTGTCCTTAACGGGGCTGGAGCCAGAGCAGACTCAGGAGGCCTGTCGGTGGTGCTCCAACAAGAGTGGACCCCGGTCCCTACTTCTCCATCACGGGGTGGACGTCAGAGGTGGTTCTCAGCTGTGGTGACAAAAAGGACCGACTGCCCAGAGATGTCCTCATGGTAAAGGATAGTTGGGCATCAAAAACATGAAACTAGGAGCTTTGTTAATGAGGCCAAAGGACAGTGGTTTTGTCTGTCCTCCCACAAAAAACAAAAAACAAAAAACAAACAAAAAAAAATGTGTCCAGGAATCAGCTGCTGGGTTTGAATGCCTGGAAAGAAGGGAGGCAGGGGAGATGGAAACAATGCGTTGTTTTACTGGAACAAGGATTTCTTTCTAAGCGACCTTGGTCAGTATTCATACCCCTGGAGTTGCATGGTAATTGATTTTGTTTAACTGCACATTAAGTGAAATAGCGACCTTTGTAGCTGCATCTCTTCTTAATTAAAGCAATGAATGGCTTTGGGATTCTCTGCACCCCTCTTCGAAGCTCATTCGCGCGTTTTCTTCCCATGGAGGGAAACTGCTGGGAAGCGTCTCTCCCGTCACCACGTGTGTGTCTCGCTGCTGTCATGTTTCCTTGTTTGTTTCTGCAGAGACGGCCCCCGTTGGTGACCTGGTCAGCTGTGTCCACTGAAGTAAACCCCACCTGGTCCAACTATCTTGTTCTTTTTCCCCTTAAGAAAATAGATCATATATTCAGGAGAGGACCACCTCTCCTGACACCTGTGGCTGCCAGCCTGGCCCACGCCACTGTCCCCGCCCCTGGTTACTGTCCATGTGCAGGAGTGGGCCTCCCATCTCCCACTGCGACCCCCACAGTCCACTCTCAGCACAGCAGCAGGACCGTCAGAGCGTGACTTGCTTAATTGTACCCACTGGCAGTTGTCACATTGGTGCTTCAGCTTCTTTGGATGGGATTTAAGTGGATCCAAAAATACCTGCAGCGATCTGTTCTTGCACCTCGGCTGTTGAGGCGCGCTGCTGCTTCTTCAGCTGCTGGAAGGTGGAGGAGCACAGGGGGACGCCAGAAAGGGCTGCTAGAGACTGCCCTAGTCAGGAAAGGAAAATGTCACATCACCGGTGGAGACAAAATAAAACATCCAACTTTATTTTTGTAATGTTGAGCGCTGTCTTGTACGTTGTGAGTCACCAAAATCCCACTGCACTTGGATGGCTGACTCCTCCGCGGCGGCCTCTGGACTCCTCCGCTTGTGGGGCGGCATTCGGCCGGATCTAGTTTTGGGGCGAGGGCAAAACAGCTCGCAAACTCCTCATGGTGTTGCAGGGTGTTGCCTTAGCAGACGAAGAGAACCGATGTCCCTGCTTAACTCTCGGAGTTATTTCCAAACTAATGCTCAAGGAATACAATCTAGTGTTCTTTGCAATTCTGTTCAAAGGTAGCAAAGTACATCCTCTTTTCGTAGAAGAGGATCATCTAAACTATAACCGAAGCCACAGGAAACTGTACACCCATTTATCCCACTCATTACGAAGATCTTAATACAACATTCTGGAAAGAAAAGTGCTTTTTTTTGCCCCTTGGACAGGGCTTTGACATTAAAACCCTTTGAAAATGGCAGAGGAGAGTAGGGAGAGAAGCAGAGTTCAGCGTGTGGAATGCCTACTTTTGTCGCTGGGCCACTTCGCCTACTTTCTGTTCGTGCAGGATTGTCCGCGGGAGCTCTGGGGTGGCTGCTGGCCCTCGGTCATGTTCACAGGCCATCTCTTCAGCAGGGCCGTCTCGGCTTGATGGCTGTTGGCTGGGTCCCCTGGTCCTTTCAGGGCAAGGACTGTTGTGTTAAAATCACCTGCCATCTGTTGGTGAAAATGTTTTGGAATCTAAATGATGAGTCACTTATTTCCCCTGCTGTTCCTTCTGCTGCCAGGACTAATTTACCTACTGGACTCCATCAGGGGGTATCCTGGAAGCCCTTACCATACCCCTCCTAGTGGGCGGCCTTCCTAGTGCCATCAGTAGAACCCGTGGCAAAGAGTCGCCATTTCCACGAGGTAGGAAGAAGACACAGCAGTGGTCTAGCCTGATCCTCACTCTACGACCCTTCATGGATAAAGCTACAGCAGCCGACTTCATCCGGGTGTGAGCTGAGAGTCCAGAAGAGATGGTTTCGTGTTTTCTCACCAATGCTGCCTTATTAGGGTGACAGTGCTGATCACCAAACACGGCGCAGGACAGGCCCTGCATGACTGCCAGTTCAATGAATGACTGAGGTCTGTGACTACAGAGTGGGTGAAGCTGACCCACCCAGGGCCAACGAGAGGAGCATGCTGGGCCCAGCCTCGCCCAGGAGGCCAGAGCGCAGAGCCAGTGGGAATGCTCAAATTCTGATGCAGTCTGCCCTTGCCAACCTCAAGGGGGGAGTCCGTGGAATGATTTTTAGGAGAAATTCAGGGGCCTCTTTCCACAGAGTCAAGCCTCATGCTACGACAGAGGCTGCCGATGAGAGCGATTGGAGGGGCGGGCGCCTGGGGCACTGGGGGAAGAGGGCATGGAGCTAACAGCAGAGCCGGGTGCTCCCCCAGGAGAAACCAAAGCTCGGGTTCATGAGCCTCTCCGTCCACTAGACTGTGGTCCCTGAAGCCTTGGGCTAAATGAGAAGATGCGCTTCTCCATTGCCTCGGTTTCACACAGATCTGTTTTATTGCTAGAATCATCATCTCTCGTCCAAAAAAAATGTTTTTTATTAAGCTGGTTCAACCCTAGTTTTATTCTTATAGCCTCAAACGTGTTTATGCTTCCTGCCTTCCCTAGTTTTCGTCACCCCCAAATCTGAGGCTACATAGCAGCAGCACACCCCTGAGTGCAGAAAGTTCTAACTCGTTTGAGCACGCCCCATTCCGCTGGAGCGTTCTAAAGATTTCCTGCCTGGAGAAATTAACGAGTCCCAGGTGGGTGGCATTTTATTCTTACCACTGTGTAGGTGTGATTCTGTGGGAGGCTCTTCCCCCAGCCGGCTACATCAAAGGCAGAGTTATGTACTGGCGTCCTGGGTGGGAGGTGCAGCTCCTGTACTGCGAGTACCAGGCCCGAGACACTGGCCCTTCTGTCGTGGTCAGTCATCGAGAGGGGCCGGGCGGGTTGCATGTGCTGCCTGGGCCGACCTTTGCAGTCAAAGGAGCTGTTGACCGAGCCCTGACGGTCCTAAGAAATTTTGCCACCTGTTCTAGACTGAGCTGGGTGGTGTGGGAAGCCGACAGGGCAAAGCTAGCCTCTGTCAGTGGAAACGATGGTGGTGCTAATCTCCACGGCTAAGTATCGATTTTCTGGAAGTCACGTTTCCAACCACATCCCTTCTCTGTGGCCCAGATGCGTTTGTGGTGGAGGCAGCAGCCATGATTTGCTTCTAGAACGCCTGCCTTCTCTGAGTGCGTATCTGTTCTCAGGGCTGCATGATGGCTGAGCGGGGGGTGGGGGGGGAGGGGTGGGGGGCCAAGTTTCCCTGCTCTGAGTAGTGATTTGGCCGAACAGGGGATCCAGATGAGACGTGGGAGTCTTGCTAAACTAGCAATACAAGAGAACTTGGCAAATTGTTCATGTCGCCAGAGTTGGAAAAATGAGACTGTGGTCTTCCACAGAGCTACAGGCTCAGGTGGTCAGAAGCGTTTCGTACCGGTTGGCCAGACACTTGATCACATGGTCTCTCCGCACAGGCACAGCACGTGACACCACACCCAGGTGCCCTCCCACAAGGGGGATTTCTAAATCAGAGAAAAGGGGCGTCCCTGGAGCCTCTGTGTTTAAAGCTGAGGACGCACTGAAACTGGGGGATGAAACAACGTATCCACACCCAGATAAGCCAGGGGAGCCTGTAGTACGGACCTGTACAGACTTGCAGGTTTATACAATTGCAAAACAAAAGATTCCATTGCTGACCAAAGCAAAGGAAATCAGATCACACTGGCTTTTCTGAAATTTTGGAAGAGTTTTGCACCCAGAGATTGGCTACCAAAAGTTGCAAAGCTGATCAGTCTCTATTTCAAAGTAGCTACTGGCTAAGCTATGACTGTGGAAGCGCTGTGCTTTCCAGCCTTCAGGCGGTTTCAGACATGCTGATGTCGTGGGAGATCTGTACTAGCAAAAGAACCTGTTCTTTCCTCTGCCGCCATTCGCAGACACAGAAAACCCCAAGAAACTAGCCACATGAGCTCAGCAAAGGGGCTGCTTCCAAAACAGGGTCACCACCTGTTTCTTAAAGATGCTTACAAGAAATACAAATGCCAGTTCAACATTTTGTGAACCCTGGTTATTTACCAGACTAGAATCCTCTCTGGGAAGTGTTTAATCCTGTGTCAAATACAGAAAGGCAAAACACTGGCAGAGAGAGAGAGGAAGGGGGGGCAGATATCATTGTAAAGGCGAGCAGGGGCTCCAAGAAGGTCCCAAACTCTAGGAAGGAGGAGGCATGGTCACAGCTGTTCCAGGAGCAGCCCTGGTAACTGACCAGTCCACTCCGGGGGTGTAGAGAACCGGAAGAGAATCTTCTCAGTGCACTTGGTGCAGGTGCACACTTCACTGCTTTAAAGGAGACGCCGTGAAGACGAGATTCCCAAGAATCAGAGCTGCACCGGGCTCCCAGGGCACTCAGAACCCTCTGCCCCGGAGGCCATGGCACCTGAGAATGCTCCCTGCTCGGAGACCCAGGACCCCAGCCGCGGGGCTGTGGACTCAGATCCGCTCCTCCCGGCCTTCCTGGGAGATGCCCAGCACCGACTTGTGGGGGATCCTGCACTCTTGCAGAGACTTGGTGAGGTCAGAGAAACGTCTCCTGGGCACCTCCATCGTTTCGATGCAGCAGTGCTGGTAGGTGGCCTTGTTCTTGTGCTCAGCCACGGCCACAATGGTCTGTAAGTCATCGGTTGGCCGGAAGTGGCGGACGAACCTCCGGCCTGATGGTGACCTCACAGCAAGCAGCAGCCTTGGCTCTTGATCTGATGGCTCCTCCGGGACTCCGGCCCTGGAGGGGCTCTGTCTCCTGGTTTGGACAAAGAGTTTCTTCTCTGGGGAACGAGCTGGAGCTCTGGAACCTTCTTTGCCTGTCTTCATGGTGCAGGCCTCCTCTTGGTGCAGAGCCTGGATGCTGCCCAGCTGCAGGGAGCCAGCCTTTTTCGCGACTGTTTCCCCAGCCCCCTCCTCCGGGGTCTTCCTGCTGATGGAAGGAAGGACCGGGTATTTATTGAGGGATGAGGAAGTCCCTAAGGGCACCTGCTGCAGCAGCTCGGGGACCTCATGGGGCGCTCCCTGATTTGGCGATCTGGGCGCACAGGCTCCTGGTTTCTGGCTGCCTGGCGGCTCGCAGGGAATGGCTGGAGGCGGAGAAGATGGCGTGCGTTGCGGGCACAGCCCCGCGCCCTGGGGCTTGTGCAGACTCGGCCGAGTACGCCCCTTGGCGGACTTGGGCCGTATGACGTGCATGTTCAGTGAGTCTGGCGGCCAAACGAAGCTGTCGGCTGCTGTGCTGACCACGGGGTGGCACTCAGTGGAGGCGGCGTTCACGGTGGCTTCTGCGGCCATTGCTTCTCAAGACCCCTAAGGAGGCAGGAGAAACGGAAAGAGGCCATGATTCACCTTCTGGGGACTTCTGGATCCCAGCCAGGTCCCAGAATAAGCCAACTGGCCACAATGGAGAGGGGCACCAGCTGCAATTCATTTGCTCGTTCATTCATTCATCCATTCATTCATTCCAGGTATTGGAATATATCAGTGAACCAAAATCCTTGCAACTTAAATTATCACGGTGACGAAAGACAAGTGTTAAACCTCCACGTAAACAGTAATAACTGCAATGAAGAAGATAAAGTATTGCATTAGAGAGTGACTAGGGTGGGGACTAACTCTTATTCTTAGTTGGGGAGGGGGAAGCTTTAAGCTGAAAGACTCGAGTGACGAGAAGGAACACGCTACAACCCAGACCAGGGCCAGGCTAGCCTCTTCTGTCCATGGTTTTGGCTTTGGGAGCCACGTGATCTCGGTTCTAGCTACTCAAACCCCCGCCACTGCCGCAGGAAGCCAGCCACAAACAGTTATATAAAGCGGTGTTACTAGGGCTGCCTTGGCTCCAAAGAGCCCAAGTAACCCTGCTAAGTCACCAAGCAGCAAAGCCAGGCTCAGCTTCACTCCCGAGCCGAGGGGCAGACCGGCCGACTTCTCTTTGCTCCCTGGTGAGAGATCTTCTGAACCAGGGGACGGCAGGGAGCTCTGCTCCAGCAGTCGCTGTGGAAGGGCCACGCTCTCTGACCCCCCGTTTTCCCTTTCTCCCCGAATCCCTCTCTTCTTTACCCATCTACCCCTAGCTTGCTCTGTCTTCGTTTTCCTTCCTGCCGTCATCTGAGGTGGCTCTGCACTAATCACTTAGTGCATTGTCCCTCCCCTGCCCCAACTCTGTCACCAGGAGTGGGGGGTGGGCAGGGGGGAGGTTCTGTTCCTGATCCGCCCATTGGCCAGAACTTTCGGGGATGTCCTCGGGCACCAGACCAGGGGTCAGCAAACCTTTCTGTGCATGGCCAGACAGTAAATATTTCCAGCTTTGCGGGCCATACGGTCTGTCACAAGTACTCAATTCCGCCCTTTCAGTGTGGAGGCCACCACAGACACAATGCAAATGAACGGGTGCGGCTGTGCCCCAATGAACCTTCATGGATGGAAATTTGAATTTCATAGAGTTTTCACGTGACACAGAATATTCTTCTTCTTTTGATTTTTCCCAACCATTTCAAAGTGCAAAAGCTACTCTCGGCCCAGGAGTCACACAGAAACTGGTGGTAAGCCGGACCTGGCCTGCGGGCCATCACTGACAAACGCTGTCCTAGGCCAACCGCAGAGGGCACTCAAGGCGCATGCAAATGCTGTAGACGCGTGAGCCAGAGAGGCAGAGCGCCTTCCCTGCGGTCACACAGCCAGCTGGTGGGGGAGCCTGAAACGGAGCCCGGGTCTGTGACACCAGTGCTGTTCTCGAGCACCAGGCTGGGCGTCTCCCCGGCATGCACCGCAGCCTGTCTCCTGCAGTTTGTTTATGTGTCTGCCTTGGAAACACCTCGGGGGCCTCTGGACTTGTCTCTGGCACCTGCGTTGCTCAGGAGTGCTCGGGAAATCACTCGGAGGCAGCGTCCTGAAACCTGGTGGGAGGTGTGCGCACGGCTCTGTGCTGGCCTGCCGTTGCCAAAGCAGGCCCTTTCCCCTTTTCCGGCTACCCACCGTGGTGGCCCTTTCACTGACGCCGCTACAGCCACCGCCTCTTCCCAGTCCCCGGTTACACCTTCCCAGGACACGGCCGTGTCTTGGGCTCCCTGCCCCCCTCTGAAGCCCAGCCACCACCGGGACTGCTGTTCTCTCCACCCACAGGCTGCCCATCCCTCCAAACACCTTCCGGGAACCACCCAGTGCCTCGTGGCCCCTGAAGAAGCAGTGTGTTGGGGTGCAAGGAGCACAGACCCGGGAGTCCTGAGACCTGGGTTCTAGTTCAGGCTCTGTCTGGAGCTAGCGAGGCAACCGCAGGGCAGTCACTCCATCTTTCTGGTCCGTCACTTTCCTCATCTCTAGAATGAGGATATTCTCATAGAATGTCTATGACCTTGAAGACATTATTTACACACCTCTGCACACTGATCTCTTTGTCTGTAACAGGAGGATGGTAATATGAAATAATGTAGGTCAGGCCGTGACCGCCAGGCTCAATACATAGTAAAGACGATTCAATGGTAAGGGTTTTTTTTTTTTTGCTTTTGTTTTTGGTTTTCTGTTTGCTTACTGCTTTTATTATTCTAGGTCCAAATGCCTTACCTGTTGCTTCCGAGCTCTTCCCCAGGGTATAGTCAACTCTAACCAGCCCGGTGCATTGTGGGACTCATGCCTGCTCCGCCCACTGCACGGAAGTGCTGGGCGGCTGATTTCAGCGAGCTCAGGCCTCCTGAAATTGCCTCAGGAAGATGAGACACATGCTTTCCAATAAACCCCTTCTAAAGCCACACTTGAATCTAACACCACAAATTCACTTACTCCAAGCTGCCGTCATCACGCGATTCTGAGCACCCTTGGCTCTGCACTCTAACCTTGCCGTCCTGTGCGCGTCCCCATGGTTGCCTAGTTGCAGGGAGCATCCTTTTCCTCTCCATTCGGACCACAACCCGGCCAAACACAACATTCCTGTGTCTTCCTGAAGTGCTACCCAGGGCAAAATCTCAAGCAAAGCTACCCTCTCGGGGTGAACCCAGCAGCCTCCGTGTTTCCCCCTTCCCTCTCACCGAGTCTTCCCTCCCACCCCTCCACCTTCCTCATCTCCCCTGTCTCTCACACCCAATCTGGTAGCCGGGGGCCCAGGAGCCTTCTCCTCGGCACCCAAAAAGCCTGCCCATCTCCTCGCTAATTGAATCTATTTTCTGATCAACTGGGAAGAATGTGTTAGGTTTTTTTCCCCCTTTTGGTTTTTAGTTCTAAAGGCTTCCCCTTGTAATGAGGCCGTTCTGCACTTTCGCTCCGCACTGCACGAGGAGGGCACGGCCGTCCAACTGTTCCGCCCAAGATAAGCTCACCCGGTGCACCACCTCCCCCTCTCTGCCCACCCGCCCCCCTGGTGGAGCGGCTATTAATTTGCCACAGCTTCTACAGAGTTATCGCAGACTCGGCTCCTCACTCCCACACACGCATCAGGAAGGTTTCACTGTCAGTAAGTTTGGTAACTTAGAAACCTCTTCTTGAACAACTTTGAGGAGGAAAGTCATGTGTTCTCCCAGGCGGTCGCTCTGCTGGCTTATTTTTAACAGCCAAACTGGAGTGTGTGCGGGCACTTTCTCTCCATACCTTGTGGGACTGTATAATTACCCATGTGCGGGGGGCGTCCTACTCAAGACACAATGGTCATAAGATAACATGACTGTGAACTATCTCGGAGAAGAGCCTCAGCGATGACTCATCCTTAGAAGCCCACTCACGGTTATTTAGAGACTCGCACCTCCTTCAGGTAACACCGCTCCGTCGAACCTGCTTTCATAACCCTCTGCCTCCCCTCCGGCGCAGGGACCATCTGTTGAGCGGCGGGAACACCAGCTCTCCCCGGCGGCTAGAACAGGGGCAGGGGAGGTTGGGCCCACAGGTGTTTGGGGACCCAGGCCAACTTTGCGCCTTTATATTCACACCTTGCACCCCGAGCCCTGCCCACCGCCCTCAGTCCCGGGAGGCTGCTGGGGCCCTCCTCCCTCTCACGATCCCTGGATCCCTGCTTGGCTCACTCCACCACCTCTCCGCCCAGCAGACACAGCCCCGGAGCGCTCTGACGAGATCGAGGCGCAGGCAGGCACCCATCAAGCTGCCAGCCGAATAGGCCAGTGGCCTGTTTACTTCAGCAGAGACGCTGCACCCAACAGGCCTGCTGGGAGTCAGGAAACAAACACTGAGGCCTGTTTCCAAGGGGCTGCTGAAGGCAGGTGCTCATTCCTTAAGATTAACCACCACATCCACTGGAAAGAAGGAAGGTGGGATGGGAGAGGTTAAAGCCATATTCCCGCTTTGCTAGGGCCCACCTCCCACCAGGGGGTCGGACCACCCTGTTTCACCCACAATGCACATCTAAGCCTACAGTACGTGCGATGAAATACAGCCACCCACATACCATCTGCTGGGATGTGTCAAGGACGCATACATCTGAATTGGTCTTTTAAAAATATTTATCAGTGAATGCTATCCCCTGCCCACCCCCTCCCCTCCTGGTGAGGCTTTCAGGATGAAATGCGCTCAGAAGAACCAACAGGAGAGAGTAGTGGGCCTGAGGATGGGAAACCTTCGGGATCATTCCCCGTGGGAACCAGGACTAACGATGAGAATGCACTGACCTCTGCAGGGCGCCGCGTTACAGGGGGAGTGGAGAAATGGGACCACACGCCACCCAGTGATCAAAGGTTTGGAAAAGGAAGTGGGAATGATTCCAAGGGGGATTGGTGGAGGGGGAGAGCTCAATCATTTCCAAGTACTGGAAGCTCCAGGAGCACAGAAGCCCAAGCAGCAGGAGGAGGGGGTATGGGGGAGGGGCGAGAACGAGAGTCTGGAAAGTGAGAGTTGACTTGGGCGAAAGAGCACGGGTGTGGGGGAGGCTCAGATCTGGTTCCGGTCTCTCCATGTGACTGGTGGGATGTCCTTTTGTCCCTCTGGGTCTGTGTCCCGTCTCCACTGCCCAGCCAGGAGGGCATGGCCCAACGGCTTCCCAGGGCCCTCGGTTTCTGCAGAGCCCCGGAGTCATCCTGTTCCGGCAACGGTGAGCTCCGGCAGCGCTGGCTTTGCCACTGGGGCGTAGCCACCACTCTCAGAGCCCCTGTCCTGTCTCCCAGGGTTCTCCCTGTCCAGGTGTGGGGAGGCCCACTCGACGATGGGCTGGGTGGGTGGTTGGGTCTGGCCTCTCCAGATCCCTTTCAGGCTTCGGGGGGGCGTGAGCAAGACAGGGGGCCAGAGGCCTGGGCTTTCTCACCTCGCCTCTCCGCTCCATCCGCGGCAGCCACCCGGCTCAGTCCCCCCTGGTAAACAGCGCCGGTCGCCCGGGCAACCACGCCGGTGGGGGGCCACGTGCTTCCGGTCTGGCCAGAACTGGCTAGGCCGGGCTGAGGTGGGGCAGGGGCCAGGCAGGCGGGTGGAGGCGGGGTAGGTCACCCGGATCCTGGCTCGGCTTCTCGGCTTTCCTGCCTGGTTTCCTGTCTCCTGGGGAGGGAGCCTGGAGCTCTGGCCCGGAGGCTGGGGGCGAGGAGCAGTCTGCCTGCCAAGCCTGTTTTGTGACCCGGACCCTGTCAGTGTCCCTAGCTTTTAGATGAAGCTGCAGGACTCACTGATTCCTGGTGACCCTGGAACCTGAGTGGCTGCTTTGAGGACGTCTGTTTCAGTTGGGGACCACTTTTCTGCCTTATCTGTCCTCCTTTCCCCGTCAGCCTCCCAGTTCTGGGCCACATCCCATCCGGGACCTCGTTTTCAACCACATTTCCACCTGCTTTGACCTTCCTGACCAGGACCTCTGGCACTTGCAGCGAGTCCCGTCCCTTCTACCGCGTTTGTCCCTCAACACCTCGCAGGCTGCACTCCCCTTCGCCCTCTCTGCTTTCTCCTGCCTCTCGGCCTGGTCTTCCCTGGTCTGTCCCCTCGGCCACTTCCTTGCAAGAACGCTGCACGCCCTGGCTGCCGCTCTCCATTCCTCCCACTCGATGAAACCCCCGTCGGGCCCCTGACAGCCAGGCACTGGCGAAATCTCTACCAGCCACAGGACATGGATGGGAACGCGTGGTCTCCAGCCTCGGCGGAGCCCTTAGCCCCACACAAAAACCCTTCCCCTCTCCTCAGCTCAGTTCTGTCCCCTTTCTCCCCAGAGGCCATTTCAAACCTCGTTCTCCCTTCTACGCCTCCCACCTCTCCCCTCACCTCTGCCCATTCAGGAGGTAAACTTCTCTCTTCAGAGAGAAAATAGAAGCCATCCTGTGGAAATGTTCTCAGCTTTCTGCCACCAGGTCGACAAACTTGTCCACTCGTGTCTGCCTGCTTTTCCCCCTCCCTCCTGTTCTAATGTCGGGGGCACATCCCCTGATTCTGTCCTACACTGACCGCCCCTCCACGTCTGCGCTGAAGCCTGTTCTTCATCACAGGGCGGCACGTACGGCTCACCACAGTCCAGGCCTTCGCTCCTGCTGTCCCTTTGGCCTAGAACATTCTTCTCTAATCTCCCCAACCCCTCCTCCCCTTCCCTTCCCTAATGCTCACTCACCCTTCAGAGCTCACGTTGGAATTAAGATAGCTCCAGAGGGAGTCTTTACTGGACTATTGTCTTCTGAGCATTGTTCTAGACTCTTGGGATACTCAGGTCAGTAACTGAGTGACAATAATATGAGAAGATGTTAGTGGACACGCAAGAACCCTATAACCAGAGGAAAGAATCAGGATTCATGTCTTAGCACTGGGGCAAAATATTTGCTGCCTCGCCTGTCTCAGACACGTGGAACAGGAGTGAAATATGAGCGTGATGCCAACCCCCCTCGAGACGTTCCCATTCGGTTGAGAAGACACATCGCGCACCCATAGAGTTACAGATCAGATAATTTTCAATTCTGTTCGAGCCAAGTGTGGAAGAGCAGGCGCAGGCCGGACGGGATGACGTGCGAAGTGATTGGCACGGACACAGAGGGCCCTGAGGTCTGCGAAGGAGGAGGTCATTCCAGCGGCGGTGTCTCTGCTCCTCTGTGAAAGGAAGCGCCTGGTCTGTGGGAGCTGCTGGTGGGAGCGCCTGTCCGGAAAAGCCTCCTGCTTGGGTCACCCCCTGGCCTGCCCCGGACACCTAGGGAGGTATCTGAGGCCCCGAGAGGGTGCCGGAGGTGGCGGTGTGGGGGAGCGGATGGGTTTGCAACTCTGTGCTGGTGGCTTATTTCCTGTAAGTGATTCTGTCAGAGTATCTAAGCAATGCTCTTCAGCCCCTGAACACCCACCGGGAAAAGATGAAAGTGGATTCTTCATCAGCTATTTTAATAGCACGTAAGAGTTATGCAATCTTTTGGAAAATCAAATTGGCTTCTCACCCCCTTCGAGGGTATGTGTGTGTGTGTGCGTGCACGCACACTCGGGCAGGCCGTGAGACGGTGCTGGTGCCTAGGGTCTCTTTAACATTTAGTTATTAGTGCGTGCTTTGTGCTCCAGGTATCACGTAATGCACAGCATGGAGTGAGGGGGGTGCTGGGAGGAAGGAAAGGCAGCCAGCTGGTCAGTTACCATGCCCACCTGCTCTACAAAGAGAAGCTGACTCTGCTGCCTTTGTCTCCCATCTTGCTTTAAAGAAGGTGTCTGCAGCCCTGGCCAGCGTGGCTTAGTGAGTTGTAGCTGTGTCCCGTAATCAAAGGCTGAGGGTTTGATCCTCCGTCAGGGCACATACCTAGATTGCATCAATCCCCAGTCCAGGAGAGTATGGGAGGGAACCCATCGATGCCTCTCTCTTGCATCAGAGTTTCTCTCTCTCCCTTCCTCTCTCTCTCTTTAAAAGCAATGAAAAAACATCATTGGGTGAAGATAAAACAAAAATAAAAAAGGTGTCTGTAAAGGACGGACCTTATAATGCACACACGCAATGTGGGTTCTCGGCAGCATGGTCAGAGGTCACCATCATGCCCTCTCTCACGTAGACTCACTCACGCTCCTTCCCAGCCACGGTCCCCTCTATGCCCCGGGCCTGTCCCTGAGCTCCAGCCAACTTGTGTCCCAAATGGGCCCTCGGATTTTTCCCCTCCAGGGTCTCTGCTCATGCCTGTCCCACCCCGCTCCCTTCCTTGAAGTTTATCCAAATCCACTGATCCTTCAAGGCCCATCTTAAAAGTCACCTTTTTCACGAAGGCTCTTCTAAGACACCTTCTCTCCCCCCAAACCTCATATCCTTTTTCTGGTCCCTTTTGGTCCGGTTAGACACGCCAGCCAGGAAGGCACCGTGCACCCCCACTAGGTCAGTCCCTCTCATCTTCCGTCGAGACAGCTTTCAAAAACGACTAAGTCTCGGGGGCCCCGGCTGCTGGGGGGCGGAGCTGTTTTAAAACCCCACTCCGGCTGCCTCCAAGGCCCGCCCTGGACCCAGAGCCCCACCCACCCCCTGCACGGCCACAGGCACTTCGTCTGGATCCTGTCCACCTGTTGCCCCACCATGCGTGCTGCAGGCGTGGCCTCTGGAGTCGATTGGAATCTTGGCTGCACCGCCTGCTAGCTGAGAAGCTTGGGCAACTGGTTTAACTTCTCTGGACCTCAGTGTCCACATCTGTGCAATGGGGATGAGGAGAATAGGGTTGCCGTGAGGGTGAGATGAGAGAATGCATGTGAGGGTCGTAGCGCGTGGTAAGGGCTTAGTCAGGGTTGATGGCCATTGTCATATTTTTCAGTTACACTGCACACCTGCTTCAGTAGGTCGTAAGCCCGTGTCTGTGCCCCCCGCTTTGTCCACACGGTGCCTGCTTCATGGTAGGTGGTCGGCAAATGAGAGTTAAATCGATGGTGATAATGATGTTGACTGCACAGCTTTTCTACCGAGAGATCCAGCAAGCTGCCCGTTGGTACCCTCTCCTACTCTCCCCTCCCTGCCTCCCCCCTCTCCCCCTCCCCCACCAAGGATGTCTGGCTCAAAGTCTAAACGACCTCCCCCAGGGCTGGGCTGAAAGCAGAAGCTTATTTGCTTTTCACCTTCGCAGTCTCTGGCAAAACGAAAGCTGCTCTTGGCGACACGAAGTCCCTAATTGTGCTTCAGGAACAGCACTGCTGACGTGGCTAGAGCTGTCTGCCCCTGCTCTCCGTGGCCCCGGGTTCGCAGGCTGGGTCAGTTGCTGTTTTCATCCTTTCTCCCTCTCCTTTGCCTTCCTGCTAAGAGCAGCCGCTCGAGCTTTATTCCTGTTCAACTTCTGGGTCTGAGGAAAAGGGGCTGATGCGTTGCCAGAACGGTGTCTAAAATAAGAGCGCTGTGGCATCTGCTTATGCTCGGCCATTGGGTTCCGTTTTCTCTGCTGTGTTTTGGATGCGGACAGCTCTTTGCTCAGCGGCCCACAGGCAGGCAGAGAGCTGCTAAGGGGCTCAGGGTGCCACCTCTGGAGTGAGACACGCTTGGGCCAAGTCCTGGCTCTGTCAGTTTGCAGGGACGAGTACCTGACCTCCACCCGTCTCAATTCCCTCCTCAGTAAACTGGGGCTGATCGTCTGCCTCCTTGGGAGTCTTCCAAGAGGGTTCGAGGGGGTGATCCACGGACTGCGCCCTTAGCCCCGTGCTGGTCCTCAGTAGGCTGTATTTTGTTTTGATTTCTGTAACTTGCAGCATGATGTACTCTGAGTATTCATTCATTCATTCCCCAAATACTTACTTAATACTGCCCATCTCTCCATGCCTGGTTTCCTTCTCTGCAAAACGAGGATAATATTCGTACTGATCTGGCTGGGGGGTGGGAGCGCTTCATGCATAAATATATGCGAAGTGCTCAGAAACTGTGCCAAGCAGGGAACACGCGTGATGCACATGTCACCCACCCTTATCACTATTACCAGTGTGTCCCGGGCACTGTGCTGCGGAGACTCCAGGGATAAAGAGACGAACACGATGGAATGAGCCTTGACTCGTGGATCCTTCGGGCTCTTTCTTCCTTGCCTTCTCCATGGGGAAAAAAAGCCAGCCGATGTTTCCTCGCTGTCTGAGATGAACTGACGGGTCTGAGAGGGTGGCGCTCACACACCACCCGCTTGCGGGCTGTGGCCCTAGAGGCTGGCCTGGGAGGCCGTGCCACCCTTCCTCCTGCGCTCTCGCCCCTCATCAAGTCCCTGGGCCTCAGTTTCTCCGTCTCTAAAATGACAATGAACCCTCGCCCATTTTTCTGAGGGTTCAATAGTGTGATGCCCGTGAAGCCTTTAAAGAAAACGTAGTAATTTCTTAATAAATGTTGGGAATGAATGATAAGCCTTTTGAGTCTCACTTTAAGGAGAGGAAGCCTAGGGGGCTAAGCTGATGAATGAGACACCTGGGCATTAAGGAAGGAAAACACGGGTGGGGTGGAGGGTAGCCCCCATGCAAATGGGGCTCAACTTTCCTGCACTGGACTTCCATCGCGGACCTCCTATACGCCTTTGAACTTGGGAACAGAAGGAATACTGACTCCTCAGAAGAAAAAAATAAACGAGATGAAGAGATAGTGTTGCCAAAGAAAGAAATTAAAAGAAAAAAAAACTTGCACTTTTCAAGCAACTGAAGCTTCCTTATCTTTATATTTAGGTCTAAATACCAGAAAGAGTATCATATTTGGAGATAATTGGGTTGGAAAAAGATCTCTTTGCTCTGAGCTCCCCACTGAGGGCCTTCCAAGGTCCGCACTGCAGCTGGGGCCTCATTTGGGTCCTTTCTTCCCCGAATAGGAGTTCAACGACCGGCCCCCGGGGACCAGAGGAAGCTGTGATCAAGGGGCCTGGGACCCCCTGGGCTTCTCGGGAATGAGGGCCCTCGGCGTTCTCACGGTCTTCGCCTCCTGCTGTGAGTAGAGCCAGTGGAGCGCAGCTGCGAGAGTGCCAAGGCGCTGTCCTCCTGCCTGCGTGTGTGTGTGTGTGTGTGTGTGTGTGTGTGTGTCCTTGGGCTGGTCCCTCCTGGGGCGGCTTCGGGTGAGGGGACATCAAGTGTCACTCAAAAGAGAATCGGGAGTAGAGCAGGCTCCCACCCACGCCCTCCTGCTTCTGTCTCTTCTGCAAAATGCGCTGATCCCAGTGTTGGGGCCTCCCAAAACTTCTGGGAAATCGAAGGTTGCACAACCACTTGCTAAGAAGGAGGGCGTCCGACTGCTTCACCACGCACAGCCCCTGCAGGGGTCTTCCCTCTGGGTGCTAGGTGCCTTCATGTCAAGTCATGTGCATTCCAGAACACATCCATAGACATCTACCCAGTTCATTCAGGAACAATTCTTTTCAGTCAGAAGGGCATTCTTATGGTGACTTACGGAATAATTGGTAATCAAAAGTCACCGCTACGGGGAGATCAGATTGCATACCTCTGCAGACTGAAAAGAACGTGGTAGGAAACAGTGCTAGTTCTGTCGGGAAGCTCTTCGACTCTTCCATTTGTGGAGTGGAGATTTGTCTACATCCAGCCTTCTACCTGTTTCAGCCGTGGAGCAATAAATTCCAGGTCCCTAAGTCAAAATGTCAAAAAGGAGGTGCTGATTTTCTCTTAGTGGTGGAATGTACAGTTTTCAAGGCCATGGTGTGGGGGACCCGTATGCAGGAAGTGCCACTTCTGCTGTCCCCCACCCTGTGGTGTGCCCACAAGACCCCACTCTCTCTCTCTAGGGGCCACTTGTGCAGCAGGGCCCGCCCCCAGGCTTCAGCCCCCTCTCTGGCCCTTGGTGACAAGACATCCGAAACCACAGTGTGTGATGGGAAGGCTCCTGGGAAAATTTCCCCAAGCCTTCTGTCTCTGTTGTTAGTTCTTCAAGTTCATGTTTTTGTTTTATTTTTGTGGCAAGATTAACATATGCTTGTAATTAAAAAGTAAAATAAGTGAGTATAGCGTAAGAACATGAAGTCCCTTGTTATCCTCCCTGACTCTGAGCCGTCTCCTGCACCCAGGTGTAACCACTTATTAGAGTCAGGTCCACATCCCAGCCCTGGCTGGTGGGACTCAGTGGGTTGAATGCTGGGCTGTGAACCAAAGGGTTGAAGGTTCGATTCCCAGTCAGGGCACATGCCTGGGTTTCAGTCCAAGTCCCCAGTAGGGGGTGCACAAGAGGCAACCACATGTTGATGTTTCCCTCTCTCCCTCCTTTCCCTCCCTTCTCTAAAAATAAATAAATAAAATCTTCAAAAAAAAAAAAAACACAGTTAGGTATACATCCTCCAGGACTTTGAACACACATACACACACCTTTTAATGGAAAAGTAATACATGCTCATTGTAAAAAAAAAATCAAACAGCATAAACATACACACAAAAAATGTTGCCTGCTTTTCTTTCCACCTACCTCCTCAATCCCATTGCCTTGGGGGATTGCTAAAAGTAGTCTGCTTTCCAGACATCATTTTGTTACAATCCCCCATCAGTGGGTAGGTGGGTAGTTCCCAGTTTTTTGATATCACAAGGCTGCAGCAAGCACACGCCCACACACTCCCCTCCCCCCACTCCTGTAAGCATTTTTTAGAAGGAAAAATTGCTGGATCCGTGCGTGTTTGCCATTAAAAAATGGACTAAGGTTATCTTTTCTGCCCCCGAAGTATTCTGTGTCTCCTGCGAGCCTGTTCGTGCCCTGTGATATTGGTAGGGCCTGGCCTTTCTGGCTTTGAACTTCCCCCATTCACACTAGACATCAGACCTGAGGGAGTTTCCGCCTGGCCGGGTGGGTTTTTACTTTGGGGAAGATTGTAGTCGACGGTATTGTTCTGAACCTCACGGAGACTGGCTTCTCATCCTGGACCCGCAAGAAACGAGCTGTGTGACGCGGTGGGTCCGATCAGACCTCCTTCCCCATTGGAGGGGCCGGGCATCCCAGCCTCCCGACGCACCACGCATGCTCAGGGGTGCCGGAGTCCCGGGACGCAGGGTGTTCGGGACAGGGGGCGCTAGAGCAGCGCGGCTCTCACGGCTCTCTGTCCCCTCCCCGATTTCCTCGTTGGCAGTGGTAGCCCTCACCCACAGCAGCTTCTGGCAGTTTCAGAGGATGGTCAAGCACATCACGGGGCGGAGTGCCTTCTTCTCCTATTACGGATACGGCTGTTACTGCGGGCTCGGGGGCAAAGGGACCCCCGTGGACGACACTGACAGGTGAGTACCGGGCTCCAAGGCCTCCTATCATGCACTTTGCATTGAAACCCACGTTTGAAGAGAGGGGATGTATCAGGACTCCTGCCTTGCAAGTAGCAGAAGCCAATTCAGGTGAACCTGAGCAGAGACTGAGAGGGAGCTGGAGGGAGGTCTGGAGGAACCCGAGACGGGGCTGAGCCTCTGAGCGTGCAGCCTGCACAGCTGTGTGGGACCCGCATTCCTGGGGCCCTGCGCCTTCTTACGTTTTCATTTTGTGCCAGGCCTTTCGAATGATGCAGTCAGTCCCGCCCAGAGCTCTAGAAACTCTTTCACTTCTCACGGCAAATGTGGTCTTCTCTCAGCCCCCCAGTTGTTAGGACCTGCTGTCCCCCAGCCCTAATTCCGTATTCCAGGAGAGAGGATCTGAGTGGCCCCGTTGGGAAAGTCACCCATCTGGGTGAGGTCGCACGGCGCAAGCCTGGCTGCCAGGCCCACTCCAAGGATTGGGGTCAGGGAGTGTGAGTTCCTGGACAAATGGAGCTTGGTGTGATCTGGCGAAGGTCTGGGAGGCAGGAAATGGGGGAGCGTGCGAGCTTCACTGGAAGGAATAAGAAACAAAATGTTCTTTGCCACTTTAAACCTTGTCGGGACAAATATGTCCCCACAACGGGGCCTGAAGTCTCACTCCTGGAGCTTGATTTTTCTGGGTTGGGCTCCTGAGACGTGGAATGCTGCAGCTGGAAGGGCCCAGAGCCCTGGAGGGGACCTGACGCTGACGAAATGCCCCTCGCGTGCCGAGCGCTGGGATTGGTGATTTGCCCATGGGACATAATTCAGTCCTCACAATGAGTGAGTGGCTGGGGCAGTGTCCCATCCCTGTCGGACAGGCGACAACGGGGAGGACCCACGAAACCCAAGTGGCGAAGCCCAAAGACATGCAGCGACTGTGTGGCTGAGTCGGGGTTTGAACAAGAATTTGCTTGTTTTAACGTCAAGGCCCTTTGATGCTCTGTGCCTCCCCTGTTCAAGTTCAAAGGCAGATGAGAAATGTAACACTGTTAGCCAAAGATGACAGATGGCAGAGAGCCTGCCTGCAGATGGGGACAGGGAGGGGGAGCACTGAAGCATCTGGCCAAGGGCATCAGCCAGAAGCCTTTTCTGTTCTGTGTCCTAGAGTCCGGCGCCAGGTGTCCGCTCTCCTGCCCCTTGCGCGCTGGTCTCAGAGATGAGCCGAGGCCACTCCCCAGCTGTTTCCCGCCCTCGGATGCTCTTCTCTCCTGCCTCCGCCCCCACCCCGTCTCTCTGAGCACCACGAGAGCAAGAACTGAAGCACTGTGTGTTTTTGCTGACAACTGAGGCTGTCCTCAGAGACTGTCACAGTGCTTGGCGTATAGTAGGTGCTCAGTAAAAAGTCATTCAGTGAATGAATGAGTACACAGACCTCAAGTGGAGTCCTGAGTCTGTCAGTCTCCCGCTGCGTACTTTTGGGACATTCACATCCGAGGTTCATTTCCTCCCCTATGAAATGGGGACAGCGGTCGCACTTCATAGGGTGACCATGAGGATCTAAGTGACACGGATACTGGACAGGGCGCACCAATGTGAGTGGTTACCAATAGTGTTGTTAGTGCTGTCATTCATTTACCTCCCTACTTCCCACGCCTTCTTGTCCAGGGGAGGAGGCAGGTGAGTCCTTCCCACCAGGGTCCTCCAGCCGACTCCCCAGGGCCCAGCCATGGCACAGCCCCTCTCCCGCTCTGGTCTGGCCCCCAGGTGCTGCCTGGCGCATGACTGCTGCTACGAGAAGCTGAAGCAGATCGGCTGCCAGCCCCTGCTGAACAGCTACCACTTCCACATCGTCAACAGCACCGTGGTCTGTGAGTAGTCTCTCTGTGGGCAAATGTCTTTGAACTTGAGCCTTCCCTTAACACCTGTCTCCTCGTGGATCCACGGTACCTTTAGGGAATAAGGTTTTTCCAAGTGCTTTGAGACAGTAAGTGGCGGCAATGCCGAGAACCAGAGCTTCCTGGGAGTCCTTGCTGTGTCTCTCCCTGGTGGCTCCTGCCCGCAGCTGCGCCCAGCACCCTGTGGGAGCGCGGAGCCGGTGCACGCGGTACAGGCTCAATCAACTGCTGTTGACTGGAGATTATGTTGGATTTGCAGCTTCGCCTGGCAACTGTTGCTGCTGAGAACTAGAGTCTTCCTCATGTCTGTCGTGCATTGACAAAACGGCTCTGCTGTCTCTCCGTTGAACAAACGTTTGTTAAGGGTGGTTGCATGCCAAGCACTGTGACAGGGACCCTGGGGGACACTACAGTAAATGAGAGAGGGTGGGGCAGGGCACTCACATGTCATTGAGGGCATTCAAGGAAGAGGACAAAGAACAAGGGCGGGCAAGTACTGAATGTCCAGCACGCAGGGAGTGGCCCCGATGTCCGGGGAGATGTTCCCGGGCTGCCGGTTGGTGGGGGGGAGGAGGGGGGCAGGGCCAGCTCAGTCTAAAGGGCAGCGCACTGGAGAGCCCCGGGCCACGGGCTCCTTGTGGGTGCCGCTCGTCCCAGCAGAGTCGGTGGTTCGACCTCCCCTGAGAGTGCGAGACCTCCTCCCCCTCGGCCAGCGGAGTAGCAGGAGCCCCTCTCGTCCCCACGTGTGTTCATGCACAGCTGTGAATGTGCCTTGAAGTTCATGTCTCCTCCTGGGGTCAGGAAACCGCTGCGTCCCTTGTCCTCATTTCCCTCACTATAGGGGGGTGCTCAGCGCTCAGACCCAGGTCCCCCCTGTGTCCCCATCCTGGGTTCTGGCTCAGGACATGCCAAGAGGGACCAAGGAGGCTGTGCTGTCCCCCAGAGGCTGGGGACAGTCCCAGTGGTGAGACCTGAGACGCGGTGGGCTGGGGGCTCAGGCCCCTGCTTCAGGAGGGCCAGCTTCAGCTCCGTCCCTGCTTCTCGGCCCCCAGAGCCCCCTGCCCCCAGGCACACTGCCAGTGGGGAGAGCCCCCCTTTTCCATGTGAACTCAAGGAGACTTCCGGGGCTGGAGCTGTCTGGCCATGACCGCCCTCAGGCCTCAAGTGAAGTGTCTCTTCTTTGAGGCCCCAAGGTCACGTCCAGGAGATAGGAAGAGATCACGGCCTGGTACGAGGGCGGGGAGTGGAGGGTGGGTGGAGGAGGTGGCCCCCAAAGTATTGTTTGCTTGGCGTCTGACGCCCTCTGGAGGCCAGACCAAGTGTCTGCCCCCCACCCCCCAGGCCCCACCTCTGAGATGTGGGGCAAACCGGCTGCTGGTCCGTAAGGGAGGGGGCACAGCACAAAGACGCGCCCCCAACTCTTCTCAACCTGGCTCAGGGTCTTGCTTTCTTCTCACTGGTTCCTCCTCACCTCTCTTCACCTTGGTCTTAAGATCTGCCCTGTCAAGCGTCACCTTCAGTAATCAGAAAGGCAGGTGTTTTAGAGAAAATATACTCAAGGAGCTCTCTCCTCTGATGTTGCCGTGAAGCTCAGGGACCGAGGAAGAGGGACAAGGTGCTCTGAGGGGGGAGCAGAACTTCCGCAGGAACAAAGACCTTCACACACATCAGCCCCAGGCCCGGACTGAGCCTCCGCCCTCGGCTCCTGCGGGCTGGCTGTGCCCACGAGGGCCGACCTGGGTGGTGTGCACCCGGAGTGGCTCCATTACCAGCCTCTTCACTTCCCACTGAGGGTCGGAGCCACCACCCAGGAGATGGAGGAGTGTGACATGGAACAGAGGCTGGAACGCCACGCCAGGTGGTGGCGTGTCCTCTGCTAGGCACGTGCCAAGAGGTGGCAGAAGGTGCAGGTAGGGGCTGGGAGCTAGACAGCCCCTGCTGAGTGGCAGTGACCAGTCCCTTCTGCAACTTGATGAGGCTCCCGGAGGCCGGAGCCCTGCTCGGGGGATTAGCACGCAGGGACATTTCCCTGCCACCACCAGGATATCAGCTTCCCCTTCCTCAGCTGACCCAGTCAGTGAGGCCCACCCAGGCAGACCCCCTGTCACCCTCACCCTACCTTGCCAAGGCCATGATCCCAGGAATAGGGCTGAGACCTGGGTGGTCTGGGTTCTAATCCTGGGTCTGCTGCTGGTAGGTGCTGAGGCCTTACGGGAGACTCAGGCACTTTCACCCACTCGCCCAGTAACGCCTGCGTGCCCGCTGGGTGCCCATCTAGGGCCAGCGCTGTGCCAGGGACCGGGGGCACTGAGCAAGGCAGCCTCGAGCCCTGCTTTCTTGGTGTTTTCCAGAACCTAAGTTGCCCTTAGCGACCATCCAGACTAACCCTTCTTTGTAACAAAAGAGAGACTGAGGCCCAGAGAGGGGACAGGCTTGACCCAAGTAACCGGCAAGACAGGACCACGTGCATCTGGACCCTTCCCAGTGTTCTGGAACGCACTGTCTGGCCGCCGTCTTCTGCATCTCGGCCTCTCTGTCCACAAAATAAGGGTCATAATAACAGCTGTGGGTTGTGAGCGTCTGTGCCAGTACCTGGAACCCCCATGACAAGCCTTCGAGGTGGGCATTCTTCTCCCCGTTATTGAGGAGGACCCTGAGGCTCAGAGGGGTTCAGGGAGATGCCAAGATCACACAGCCAGGGAGAGGAAAGCTGGCTTCAGACCCTGGCCCTCTGACCCCAGAGCTGGTGCTCCTGCCTCATGCCACGCTCCACAGTGATAGGGGGCTATCGGGAGGGTGATGGGGTGCACTTGGTTGGAGGACTCACGCACATGCAAACCTTAATGTCTGCGGCACACTCGTTAGGATGCTCAGCCCTGGTCCGGGGGTGGGGGGCAAAGAAAGGCAGATGGAGTTTGCTCCCCTGCAGGGCCCCAGACCCTTCTGTGTTAGCTACCCTGCTAAGAGGCCCAGAGAGAACAGTGCTTTGGAGTTGGGCAGAGCTGGGTTCGAATCCTGACTTCACCCCTTCTAGCTGGATAATTGCAAAACCACCTGGGCCTTAGGCTCCTCATCTATAACATGGAGATAATAATACGCACTTCATGAGGTTGCTGTAAGGATTGACTAAAGTAACCCAACTAAAGTCCCTGGCCCACAGCAGGTGCTTAGGTAATGCCCTTCCTTTTAGAAGCCAAGCTTGCTTTTCACATCTAAGTTTTCTTTTCCCCTTCACTTTGTGCAAAGGCACTGGGATTTTCCTTATTACCGTTAGAGATTTCTCTGAAGCATTTCTTCTGCGCTTGCATCTCCTTGAGCTCAAGGCATGAGCCCCTCCTAGGAGAAAAGCTCCCCACCCCCACCCCCGGTTACACTGCAGTTCAAGAGCTGCCCTGCACGGGTTAATAGCCTCCCCAGCCTCTGGTTCTGAAATCCTGCACCCAGGCCCAGTCACAGGTTGCTTAGCAACCGGTGGCTGCTCTGGGATGCAGTTGGTGAGCAGGGGAGGGAAAGGAGGAAAACAACTTGGTCTGTCCATGTCTCTAAATGTCACTGGGAGATCAGTGCAGAGATAGGCCTGTAAACCGGGCCCTCTGGCCAATTTGCCCGGTGAGGAAGGCTGCCCTGCGGCAATCAGGGAGGCGGTTATCTCTCCTGTGAGTGGGCTTACATAAGTGTTTGGCATTTGCAAGGGACTGTAAGATCAGCCAGTGGTGACAGCCCCCTCCACCCACACAGGCCCGCATATGCTGTGCGGGGAGGAGCCTGGCCGTGGGAGGGAGGCAGGCAGGGACCGGGTGGCAGCCAACAGCAACTGCTCCCTCTGCCAAAGGGCGAGAGGCGAACCTGGTAACCGGTGGAATTCGTTCCTCCTCTGCTGCTGGATGTATTCCTCTCGGCACTTGCCCTCGCTGACACGTCACCAGTTTTCTCTCCTGGTGTTTGCCTGCACCTGAAATTACCTTGTTTACTTTTGCACCAACTGCCCCCGCCAACGGAATGTGGGTTCCAGGAAAGCAGGCGACAAGCCTGTCTTGTTCCAAGGCACTCACTCTCGGAGCCCACGGGGAAGGGTGCCCCTGGAGCTGGGCTGTGTGGGGTCTGCTCACTCAGACCTCTGCCCCCAGATTCTAGCCCAAGACCAGGCCCATCATAGGAGCTCGGTGTTTGTTTGATGAGTGAATACATGACAGACCATTAGACAGTCGGTGCAGGTGTCCTTATCCCCGTTGGAGAGCTGAGGAGCAGCCTTGGAGAGAAGCTGCTGAGGTCCTAGAGGGTGCAGGCAGCAGGTCTGGTCCCAGAGCCTGGCTTCCTGCTTCCTGGGCAGAGGTCCAGCCAGGGAGGCGGCAGCAGGCGGCGGTGGCGTGTTGAGTGCGTGCGCAGGGCCGGAGATCTGTGAGGACAAGGCAGACTCCCTTCCCGGAAGGAGCTTGCGTTTAAGGAGGGAGACAGGTCATAAAATATTCAGAAGTAAAGACACATTCGGGTAGTGACAAGTGCTATGAAGCATTTATAACAGGGCAGCAGGGTAAAGGATATCGGAGGCAGCGGGAGGGAAGGATGGCTACGTTAGGTGGCTGAGGAAGGCCTCTCAGGAGGTGGCATGTGGCCAGTGCGGTGGGCACAGAGGAGACAGGAAGGAGGGGAGGGGAGATGAGGGTGGACCTTGGACAGGGACGAGTCCCACAGGCCTGGGGGGACGGGGTGAGGAGCCCACTTTCTGCTTTAATGGCAGGGGACGCTGTTGGGTCCTTTGCAGCAGGGAGTGATCTGCATTAATTTTGCTTTAGAGAGCTCACCGTGGCCACTGCAGAGAAGTTGGGGAGCAAGGGAGAAAACGGGGGACCACGAGTAGGGAGAAGTCGCTACTGCGTGGATGAGGGTGATGGCGTGGAGGTGGGGAGCAGTGTCAGGTGCTGGGTGTGTTTTGGGGGTGAATCAGCAGGACCTGCTGATGCGCCCGATGCGGGGCGGGAAGGGCAGGGAGGCCGAGCCCGGGCTTCTCCGCCTGAGCAGCCGTGGATGACGGCGGCATCCTCTGGGCCCGTGCCGGTGGGGGAAGAGCAGACTGTGAAGACACAGCAAGCACTTGTCTCGAGCCACGGGGTTTGAGACGCATGTCAGACGCCAAGAGGGAGGTCCAGGGGACACGAGCATGTTGGAGGCCAGGGCTCAAGGGAGCTGCTGGGGCTGGCATGGGGACAGGTGCTTGGGTGGTCCTTAAAGCCCTGCGGCCGAACAAGGGCACCCAGGGAAGGGGCCTGGAGACAGGAGGGGACTCGGAGGCTGGCACGGAGGCCTGGCCCGCAGACAGGTGGCGGCCTGGCAGGCGGTCCAGTTTAGCCCTGGGCAGGGACGCAGGCCTCGCTCTGTCTCCTTGGTGCAAGTGCGGTTTCATGGAATGAGAAAGAATATCCAAAGTTGTCGGTTCCATTGTTCATGCCTCAGTTTCCCCATCTGTAAATTGGAAGATGCAGGATCTGGATTGAGGCTTGTTTTGAAAGATTGGCTTCCAAAGATGGCCCTTTCTTGGCCGAGGGCTGTCTCTTCCTCCAGGCCACGGCAGGCCTGACCTCACCCCCACCCCACCCCCAGGTGTGGGATGCTTGCAAGGCAGGCATGGATGTGAACCGGGGCTTTTGAGGGGGTGCCTGGGGGTGCTGGAGCTTGTTGGGTCTTGAAAATGCACCTCCACCAAGGAGACAGCACGAGGCCTGTGGACTATGGCAGTCCACAGTCACAGACCACTCAAGGTCACTTCCAGATGGCCCAGGGACTGGGCAAGCCTGTAGGAGCAGCACTGAGTGTCGGGAGAGATTACACTCCATGCTTTGGAAAGGACTGGAAGACAAAGCAAGACCGGGAGAAGGGCGTGAGAAAAAGGGAGGGGAGGTTTGCAGAACCAGGATGGAAGAAAGCAGAGATGGGAAAGAAGAGAGGAAGGGGAGAGGAGGGGGCCGAGGCAGGGAGAGAAGGTGTCTCAACTCAGGTTTCCAGAGATGCAGCACCTGGGTGAGCGACAGCATGTGGGACACCAGGCCCTTCTCCGGGGAGAGCGAGCCCAAGTAGCCCTCCTCCCCTGCGAGGACCAGCCACAGACCAAGTGCACCCCTGCAGAATGTGGTGGCCGCCCAGGGACGGAAGCAAAGGACGCGCTAGGTGCAGCCCAGGCGACAGACCTAGACATGGATGTGAACCGGGGCTCTTGAGGGGGTGCCTGGGAGTGCTGGGGCTTGTTGGGTCTTGAGGGATTTTCACAGGTGGGCAAGGGGGTGTGTGAGGGCAAAGGTGATCAGGCAGCAGGCACAGTGGGTGCGGCAGGAACGGAGAACCAGAGGTGGGAACACCCCGGCGCAGCCTGTCGTGAGGGCGACCGAAGAGGTGGAGCTGGGGCGTAGGGTGGGCGTCTGCATCTCCTGGGCACTCACACCTCTGGGGAGAGCGGGGAGGACAGCTCCTGCAGGACATGTGGGCCTCAGGGAGGGAGCGAGGCACTGGCTATAGCCCCCCACGTGTTCCCACTCAAGAGGAATCTTCTTTGTCCGACCTGTGAAGCGAAGGGCACACCGTCGTCCCAGTAGCGGGCATTCACACAGCACCCAACCGCCAGCAACAGCGGGAATCCTCTCAACCAGGGAAGTGGACACTTACTTGCTTTGGACACTTATTATTTTTCATCACCATTGTAGACATTAGGATATTGACACTAACTTGCCCAAACTCGACACACCAGGGTGTCTGGCTGCCTTCCTTTCTCACCCAGACCCTCAAAAGAGAGTGGAACTGGGTGGAGTTATCTAGAAAGAGGGAGGTCTCTTAGATCTCTGTACCTTAGATCGATCTCTCTCTCTCGCTCGCTCTTGCTCTTGTTCTCTCTCTCTCTCTCTCTCTCTCTCGCGCGCGCGCGCACACACACACACACACACACACACACACACACACACACACAGAGCACTGCATTTCTGACCGCTACTAAAAGATGCTTAATCTAGTGGCACTGGCCAAAGGGCAAGCACTTCATTCCAAAGGCCCGTGGAGGCTTCATTCATTTATCCAGTGACTGTTTGCTGAGCACCTACTATGTGCTGGCACTTATTCTGCATGCTGGGGATACTGCAGTGGACAGAAAGACAAAGTCACAGCCTCACAGAGCTCACCCTCTGCTGAGAAGGGACAGACAAAAGCAAGTATATGGGGGAGAAGCACCAGTTGTGACTGTCCAGCAGATACGTCAACAGGGAGGCAAGAGACAGCAGTGGGAGAGAGCCTTGGGTCGGGTGGCCAGGGAGAGCCTCTTGCATGAGGGCGAATTTGACTGAGACCCCAAGTGCGGGATGGATCCAGCCCCCTGAACATCCTGGAGAAAACTGTTTCGGACAAAAAGGACAGCAAGTACAAAGGCCCTGGGACAAGACAGAGCAAGACATGTGACCGAAAGAGGCCGGCATGCCTGGACCAGAGCGAAGGTGGACCAAGGAGGGACAAGGAGGAGGGAGAGGCTGGCCAGGGCCAGATCGTGGCAGCCTGCTTTGGAGCCCGTGGCAAGGATTTGTTTGGGATGTCTTCCCCAAATAGTGGGAACCCACAGCAGGGCTTTAAGGAGGGAGCGAACCTAATCCAGGTCACATGTGGAGAGGCCCCTGTTTATTTCCTTCCGTCAGGGAGGAAGAGCTGGTGAGGACCGGGATCGGGGTGGTGGCAGAGAAGACGGACAGCAGAGGGCAGAGCGTGAAATAGTTGAAACAGCGAAATCAGTGGGATGTGCGGGTGGACGGGGCGTGAAAAGTCAAAGGCAGGAGGGATCAGGGTTGGCCGCTCGTTTTCTGGCTTGAGTAGGAGGTGGTGCCATTCGCCACGCCAGGAGTGTGGCTGCAGGACAGGCTCGGTGGGCAGGGTAGGGGGGTGCTTGCATCACGAATTCCCTTTCGGACGTGGTAAGCTGTTGGCGTCTGAGGCATCCCCATGAGGTGCCAAGCAGGTGGCTGGAAGTCTGAGATGAGTTCTGAGGAAGTGGCTCCCACAACTGCCCCCACAGCTGCCCACTACCCCGGGGCACTAACTCAGGGCGCCCCTCCATGCAGGCCACGCTCCCCGACTTCTGTTTCCCTCTAGGCTGCTCCTTACGCCAGTACTTGTGACATGTCCAGGTGTGATCAGGCCTTGGGGACAAAGGAAAAGGACTCCAAGTGACTTCCCTTTTCTGTGTTCAACGTCTGGCCCCTTACAGCAAGCTCTCTGTCCTCCCAAACCGCAGACCCAGGCCCGGGAGTGAGCTGGGAGCTCCCAGTGACCCTCTGTCTCTCCGCAGGCGAATGCGCCCTGGGTCCCAGCGTCGGCTGCCTGTGTGGGCTGGGGGCCTGCGAGTGTGATAAGCAATCCGCGTACTGCTTCAAAGAGAGCCTGCCCACCTACGAGAAGAACTTCAAGCAGTTCTTCCTGAGCCGGCCCCGGTGCGGCAGGAGTAAACTCCAGTGCTAGGGAGGCCACGGGGCCCTTCTGCCGGTCAGCATCTGCCGCGGGATCACTTCCTGGAAGCCCTCTCCCATCACCCCGATCGGCTCCAGTTCGTGCAGCTCACACTCTGGCATCTGGCGGGGGGCACCTCTCCGTCACTCAGCATCGGAGGGCTGGGGATCGGAGACAATCTCCTGGCATCCTATAAAGGGAGACAGGCCATAAGTGTCTACATACATCAGAGACACATTCCCAGAGGAGAAAGTGTTGGGAGGCAACAGAACAAGGTGACAGTGTGAGAGGGATGTCCCCAGCCCCCGTCCCAGGACGTTCCCAGGAGGAAGGGGCCCCAGGATCTCCCCTGAACTCTCCCCCACCCCCCACCCCCTCCCCAGAGCAGGCTGCAGGGCGGACGTGGGAATGGGCCCACCACCCAGATCTGTGAGCAAAGCAGGCATCCTGTTCTCCAGGCATCCTGGAGAACAGACACGGTCTTGGCACGCACGCCACAGACCCCAGGGGCACAGGTGGAGTTTGTTTCTCATGTGCTCAAGGTCTGCCTTCTGAAAGCCCTTGGGTGGGAGAAAATTGACGCCATTGTCACCTCTCAGGAGGCAGGGCACGGGAACATCACCCACGGCCACGAGGATGACGTGGCCAAGAAGGTGTCAAGGAAATGGAGGAAGAGGTTGTGGCAGCGGGAATTAGCGATATCCAAAATTTCCATCCCCACTTAGAAGCCCCTAGTTACATCAGATGTAAATTCTATTAAATATTAAAGTGATCTAATCGGGGTGGACCCTGGTCTTTATAATGCCCGACTGGTATGGTGGATCGCAAAAGCGGCCACGGTTATCCTTACTTCTCCGTACCCTCACCTCTCACGATGTGACACCCAGCTTTCCCTATCGCGGGGCAGAGCATTTTCCCCACCCTCTGAATCTGGACTAGGAACTGGCCTTGGGACCTGCATTGTTCAGTGGGATGCAGTGGAAGCGATGGTCTGTCCCTTCCCCAGTCTAGGGTCTAGGAGGGCTCGTGTGTCGGACTCTCTCTCGGGACACCTGCCCCCACCGTGACAAAAAGGCGCGGGCCAGCATGCTGGAGGGTGGGCGCCCACCTGGATCGCGGTGAGTCGGCCCAGGTGTCTCAGCGGAGACTCAGACAGGTGAGGATGCTCAGCGAAGATCAGCAACGCCAACTCGGAGCCGACCACAGCCACACGAGAGAACCTCGCTGAGGCCAGAACAACCACCTGGCTGAGTCCAGGCTAAACGGCCAACTTGTGGGATTGTGAGCTAAATAGAGGCGGCTGCTGTAAGTCACTCAGTTTTGGTGTAGTGTGTTGTGCAACATAGCTTACTGTGTCACTGGTCTTCATTCACCCAGACGCCTGGGTTCCCAGCACGGTGCTGCACTAGGGGGCCATAGCCACATTGTGGACACGGCCCCTGTCCCTCACCTTGTAGGCTGGGAGGAGAAAGGCCATGCTCATGTAATAATGGAGAATACCCAAGGGGACGTGATCACTCAGTCAACCAACAAACATTTATTGAGCTCCTGCTCTGTGTCACGCATAGTGCTGGGCAGTAGGGATTCAGAGGCTTAAAGAAAACAGCAAATGAAATCAGGTCTAAGTATTCTGGGGGAGAACATGAGGAGCCATAGCAGCTATTAGAAGTTCAAGTTCAACTACTTAAAATCTGGGTTGAGTGACGCCGTCACTGGTGTGAAGACAGAAAGGGAAGCCCGGAGCGGGAAGAGTCTGCCGAGCGTCTGGGGCCGGGGGCTCCTCCGCTCTGCCTGACTCAGCTCACAGGGTCACGGTCACGTGGTAAATTCCTCCCACTTGTCCTGTTCTCCTGTGCTGTAGTCATAGCAACTGCAGAAGGGACCAGCTTGAGGTTTGTGGGCATCAGAGAGGGTCTTAAAGCTCTGTGAGGGGAATGGTTGCAGATAGGGCAGGTGTGGAAGCAGGGGCTAGTGCCAGCCAGGCACCGCCCTCCTCAGGGTTCCTGACCTCGGCAGAGTCCGGGTCGGGACTGCAGGTGCCCGGCCCTCAGCCGCAGAGGAGGAAGAGGGGCTGGGATGGAGGGGGGCACTCAGCAAGGAGGACCAGGGTTCTGGTGAGAGATCCAGGCCGTCTTCCACTCCCTGGGCCTCGGCTCCCAACCTGTAGAATAGAGGGATGGGCCTGTGATGGTACCCAAGGCCCACTGGGCAGAGTTGCCGCCCGACTCTGAGGAGCGAGGTGGGACCGCAGAGGGGTGCCATTGACTCCCACCGGGGAGGCCTGCTCTCCAGGAAGGGCAGCCGGTCCCCTCAGCAACCACCCACTGAGGCCCTGGGCGAAGGGCAGGGAACTGAAATGCATCCGTCTCCAAGCTGCTCTCAGACCCGCGGGCAACACAGACTGGGATTACAAAACGGGCTGGGAAACAAACGCTGAAGTGAGGGGTTGGCTCGGGGAGCCATGACCAGCGTCTGGGAGGGTCAGGCGAGGCTTCCCAGAGGAATGCTGGGGCCTCACCTCTAGTCTGGGAGCTGAGAGATGAGGAGGAGCTGGGGTGGCCAAGGGGATGTGCAGACCCTCCCAGGACAGGGGTGGAAGGCAATTCAACACACACGCATGCGCGCACACGCTAGCCCCTCTGCACCTGCCTGTTCCCGTCTCAACTGGGGGGCCCTCCTCCATCCTTGCTCACCCCCTCACCCAGGCCGAAAGCCTGCGTGTCAGGTTCTTTATCTTCTATTCCACATCCCACATCCCATCTGCCGGCACTATCTTCAAATACACCTGGATCCTGTATTTACAAAATGTGTGAGTAAAATGCACACATCGAAAAAATAAAACGAGGGGAAAATCTAGAATTTGACCACTTCCCACCACCTCCAGGGCTCCTGCGGCAGCCCCTCCTTTTCTGGGCCCTGGTTTTCTCGTCGTAACGGAAACCCTTCCTCGGCTCTTTCTCAGTCCTTGTCCTCGATTGGCAGCGGGGCCCCAGGAACACCCCCAGTTCACAGACAAACACGGAGGGCCGGAGAGGGCAGGTGGGGCTGGAATGGGAACCCGTGTCTTCTGATTTTAAACCTCATCTCCTGTCTCCTTTCGCAACACGAGGGCCCTGACTGGGTGCTCTCGGAGCCTAAGCTCAGGGAGTCAGAGTTCAAGCCCCACTTCCACTGTATGGCCTTGAGCTTCTCTGGGTCTCAGTTTCCTCCTTGTATAAACAAAGCTATGCATAGCTCCACCCCCTCGGGCTGCCAGGAGGGTTCATGAGGCAGCATGCACAAAGCTCTGAGCACAGTGCACAGCATGCAGTCAGTGCTCACTAAATCCCACTCTGCTCATGGGGTCCGGCAGCCTGAGACCCTGGACCGCCCGCCCTGACGGAGCGTGGGTGTTCCGAGGAGCAGGTGCCAGTGCCTGTTGTACCAGATACCCCTGCCTCCTGATGCCCAGCGTTGGCTGTTGCCACCCTTGGTGATGTCACTGCTTGTTAGAAAGCCACAGCTGGGGGGCTGACAGCCAGCACGGCCATGCCAGACTCTGGGGAGGGTAGTGCTGCCTGTCCACAGTCAGATTCAGTCCTGAGTGTGCAGGAGCGGTGGCCCCCAGCCCAGCGGAGGCCGGGGCTGGACAGGCTGCAGGTGCTCGGCTGTGGGCTTGGGACAGTAAGTGTCCATAGAACTCCCCTCTCCTTTTCTCCCTCTGCACCCCCCACTCAATGTTCCTGCTAAATCACCTCTTGGCTTCTTCCAGGTTTCCACCTGGAGAAGAATGGCCCCATGGATGTTCCGTCAGCTCCTCCTTCCTCCTACCTGTTTGCTAATCAGCCCTGGGACCTTTGGTCTCACATGCTGCCAAGGGCCCCGTCCCCAGCGCCAACAGTTTCCATTCTCCAGGCCTGGCCCTGTGCTAGGGACACGCCCACCTGTGCCCTCCACCCTCACCACGTGCTCTTCATCATTGCCCAGTTTACAGAAGGAGAAGGGGAGTCAAGTGACGCCCCAGGGCCACGTGGCCCTTAAGTGGCAGAGCCAGGGGTGCACCCAGCCTGCTCTTTGTGGGAGGCGGTGTTGGTGGCCATGAGAAGTTGGAGGGGGCTGGACATGCCCATCCTTTCCTCCTGCTCCGCTGGGCGGTGCCGGTCTGGGCCGGGTCTCTCGCTTCGGGTCTTGAAGCAGAAGGGCGGAGGAGTGGATCAGTGCGCCGCTGGTGACCTATCACCACCACTAGGTGCCGCCCAAGGCCTAAAGTAGCGCTTCCAGCCCCTCCCAGGACGGTTTGAGGATCGCCTGGAGGGGCAGTGACGCGAGAATGGAGAAGAGCAACCCAGGTCTGGGCAGGGGCAGGGACAGCGTGGCGGATGTGAAAGTGGTAAAAACAGGTTTTATTCAAGACCTTTTGTGATGGGGGAAAAGAGTAAGAATTGGGCTCAGTTCTGAAAAGAAGGAGGAGTAATGAGGATGTATGGCTAAGGAGCAGGGTCAGGGGCCAGTGGATAGAAAACTACTAAGAGGCCAGGGAAATTCTCGCTAGACTGACCTAGCGGGACTCTGGCGGGAGGCAGGCCAGGGTGATCGGACAGCACCTGGAGGACGTGGAGGGGGAGGAATCTGATCAGATACGGAGGGAGGGTGGGCATGCTCACTACACGGACCCAGCAGGGCTGTTGCTAAAACAGGGCGGTGCGAAGACAGGCACAGAAGCCCAGCCAGCGGTGGGGGTTGTTGAGAAGATATCTCAGAGAAGCCGCTTAACGTGTGGTCAAGGGGAGAGTCTTCATCGGGCCCTCTGCCGAACAACATTTAGTTTAAGTCCATTTCTGTTCGGCCACTTTGTGACCATTAGTGACCGGTGGAGCCATCTGCTCAGATTGGGCCATAGAGGGTGTTTGCTGGGTGGTGTGACCTATCACCATTTAAATGAGGGGGATTTCTCTGGAAAGAAAAGAAAAACAAAGATCATGGTTGGATAAGACTAGAGCCAGTGTCTGAGTGCAGAGGGTAGCCCGATGAGCTCTCTAGA